TGACTGACCATTATCTAATATAATCTACAACATCATCTGGTTGATTCTTGGTCTACAACAAGAACTGTATATTACTCTCAGTAGCTGTGTGCTGCCACTCATGTTACAACGTGAATCTCCGCAGTTTATATTTGTACAAAATGATTTTTTTTTTTAAATTGATGTTGTTTTTATTTAGTGTGTGCAGCTTATATTCAAGTGCGCTCTATAGACCGGCAATTACGGTATCTAGCCTCTTGCTTCTTTTACTACATTTCTCTACCAGCTAACTTGTTGCTATTTTTATCTAACCTTCGGCTATGTTTAGCTTTTGGTTTTTAGTTTTTTCGTTCCCATTTCAGAAACTGGAATCCTGTTTTGTTCAACATTTTACAGGTGATCAAGTCTGTGGAGGAGGGCTACCGGCTGCCTGCTCCCATTGGCTGCCCTGCTGCTCTGCACACACTCATGCTGGACTGCTGGCAGAAAGATCGCAACGAGAGGCCACGCTTCTGCCAAATAGTCGCCGTTCTCGACAAACTAATCCGCAGCCCAGAGAACCTGAAGTTCATGGACACGCTCTGCAGGTGGGCTGGATCCATATTTGCAGCAAAGAAGTTGAGCACGTTGAGGCGTCTCTTGATTTAATTTGGTCAAACTGTGCGTCTGCGTTTAGTCAAATATTGGTTTAACAGATTTGTGGATTAAGCTACAAATCAAAGCAAAGATGTGTGAGGGTCTGAGAAGATGATCTTCTGAACAATATGTGGTGACAGGCTGCAAGGAGACAAAGTAACTGACTTGGTGGAAGGCAGGCGGGGTAAATCCAATCATCCCTTTGCTGTCAGACATGGCTGCAGTGGGATGAAGTCACAGACGAAAGTTTCCATCCAACTTCTCTTGCAGATGAAGCGAGCAGTCTTCTTTATTTTCCATTAAGCTTCTCTGATGGATGTGCTGTGCGTTAAGTAACAGCCTTGCTGTGATATTGGCATTGATCTGCAGGGAATCTGCAAGCAGGTTGGAGGAACACTCGAACTGAAGTTTGACCTGTGGACATCACTCCGTTCAGCTCCCAGGTCCTACAGAGTCAGTGGTGCGTGGCGCTGTGCATCTATCTGTGTGTGTGTGGTGGTGGTGGGGGGGGGGGGGGGGGGTAAAATGCCAAGCAGAGATGAGTGTTAGGGATCTCCTATCAATCTAGCCAAAGCAGCTCCCCGGTGCCGACATTGGCCACCACCTCTCTTATCATTTTAACTGCTATTGATTTGGTGCTCAGGACATTTCAAAGCTTCATTTCTCTGCCGTCTAACATCCTTTGCTCACTTTTGTCTTCTCTTGTTTTCGGCGCCTCTCCATCTAATATTTTAGTCTTCCTGGTCATCTTCTTCTGTCATTTGTTGCCTGTTGATATTTGTCCCTCTCTTTGTGCTGCAGTTTAAGCAGTCCTCCACTAATGGAGAGAGCCGTCCCTGACTTCAGCAGCTGTTCTTCAGTAGATGAATGGCTGGACACCATAAAGATGGGCCGTTACAAGGACCACTTTGCAGCAGGGGGCTATGACACTCTGGGACATGTCATAAGCCTGAAGCAAGGGTAAGTGCTGCTCGATGGTGAGTGATGACAGGAGTGACAGTGACTGACACTGTGCACAGACCAAACAGCAGGGCTATAAAACTGAGGACCTAGGGCCCATATCCAGCATGCACGGGGCCTCAGGTCATTCTACTGTAGGTATACTGTATCGATATACATGTGTGTACATATATGTATATATATATAGTACTTGTGTAACGGTACATGTGGGTGCATCATCACAAAGATTACTGTACTTGAATTGGAACTTGGACTACTGCATCCGTACTTCGTGGTTTTTCCACTTATCACGGGTGGACGTGGTCCCTAACACCCGCGATAAACAAGGGATATATATATATATATACATATATATATATATATATATATTTATATATATATACTCACACACACACACATATATGTATGTATATACAGTATACACAGAGATAATTCCATTCAAAAAGTTAATCTTCAATAGATGATAGATTCAGGGCCCACAATTTAAATGATTTCAAGTATTTTTTTGTTTATTTTATATAATTTGGGCTTCCAGCTCATGAAACCCACAATAACAGGATTTCAAAAAAATTAGAATACTGAGAAGACATCAGCCAACTCTACTCAGTTTTTGCAGAAAAAAAGAAATTAGGATCACAACAAATAAGTCCATGCTCAGTAATCCAGGTATACAATCCAACATTTTTCAGTCAGGTCATCTGGACAGTTTCTTTTTTTTTGCTGAAACGTTTCACCTTCGATCCAGAAGGCTTCATCAGTCAAGGAAACACACAACAAAACTGATTATTCCCTCAACAACTTACTCGAAAGTGGAACAAACCAGTTATGTTGGTGCTAAGATGGTGTCTTTGGCACGCCCCTCCTCCATTGTCTGCACTCCTCCTTGTTGACAGTCTTGTCAAACTGGTTGAAAACAACAAAGTCCATGCTCAATAATCCAGGTATAAAATCCAACATTTTTCAGTCAGGTCATCTGGACAGTTTCTTTTTTTTTTGTGCTGAAAAAAGTTAATTTTAACTTTAAAGTTTGTTCCACTTTGGAGTAAGCTGTTGGGGGAATAATCAGTTTTGTTGTGCGTTTCCTTGACTGATGAAGCCTTCTGGATCGAAGGTGAAACGTTTCAGCACAAAAAAAGAAACTATCTTCTAGAATTGTGCCGCTCCAGGTGGCTGCATGTTGGAGCAGCTCTGTTACTTTCATTCTGAGATTTTGCTTTTGGAAACTTTAATTCCTCTTTTTCTGGATGTAAATCACATTTTTTGGATGATTGTTTCCTCTGGTATCAGATGCTGTGCAGCTGGAAGGATTTTTACTGAAACTTTTTTAGTTTTGGACATTTGTTATGATGCGTAACCATGGCAACAAGGCAGTTTTCTACAACCAACAGCTGATTAACATCTCAAAAGCTCAAATAATATCTCAACTACAGCCCCAAATCTCAGATGAGTTGAAAAGGATGTTCTGTGGATGCATTCTCATCTACCTGCCAGCTGTGCTCGAGTGCCTGACCACCGAAATCCTGGAACTAGCAGGAAACACGGCTCATGACAGCAGAAGGACAGGATCGTCCCTCGGCACCTACAGTTGGCTGTCCGCAGTGATGAGGAGCTCGGCAGACTGCTGGGAGGAGTGGCCATCACTCTGGGAGGAGTTCTGCTCTGCATTCTGGTGGTCCTACAGCCTGGGGGAACCGAGAGGCCAGCCGAGTCTGGGTGGACGGATCGGACAGCATCTGCTGCCAGTTTCTTAGGATCCACTGTGGGATGGACCTTTACAAGAGATCCTTCCTGTCTACAGCATCAGCATCTATAACATCTCTTAATGAAATGAGGATCATGAGTTACTACAACAAATAATTTCCATCCATCCATTATCTTTACCCGTTTATTCCATTTTTGGGTCACGGGGGTCGCTGGTGCCCATGTCCAGCAATCACTGTGCGAGGGGTGGGGTACACCCTAGACGGGTCGCAAGTCCATCACAGGGCCACATAGAGACAAACGAGACAAACAACCATTCACTCTCTCACTCACACCTAGGGACAATTTAGAGTTACCAATCAGCCTAACATGCATGTTTTTGGTCTGTGGGAGGAAACCGGAGTACCTGGAGAAAACCCACGCATGCACGGAGAGAACATGCAAACTCCACCCAGAAAGGCCCCTGGACCGGGGTTTGAACCAGGGACCTGCTCGCTGAGAGGCAGCAGCTCTACCAGTTGCGCCACCGTGCTGCCCAAATAATTTCCCTTTAGGATTAATAAAGTATTTTTGAATTTGAATTGAATTGAAAATACTAATAATGTAAAGTAATACGGTATATTAAGCAGCAGCCTGAACATGAGTCTGTAGTGAGCAGAAGGCTATAAATACAGCAGCTGATGGTCCTGTCTGTTTCTACTTCACTGCAGATATGCTGCTGAGCTGTCTCCATCAGATTAACAAATCCATCTTTGAGGAGGATTTGTCCATAAAGAAATAAATCAGGCAGCTCCAACAACACAATTTATCCATTTCAAGCCTCCTGTAAACAAACAAAAAATTCTAATTTCTAATTCTAAGTATTTTTTATGATGATTTTTCATGAAATACCTCTGACCACAAAGCATTCGAAATGCAACAAAAAAAAAGTCGTTGGAGGAAAAGTGGATGGCGCTCCTGCAGGTAAGGGGCGTTTTCCTTTGAGACAAATTAAGGTCTCTGACTGGTCAGTTGCTGACAAGTCTACTGGATTGATTGACAGGTGGTGTTGAGGATCCCATTCGGGCAAAACAAATCTTAGACTTTACTGGCCAGTTTAATTTATTCCATATTTATTCAATATTTTGTTGAATCAAAGATTTGAGAACCAAGCTTCTTACAAAATCCTAATGATGGTTTCTTTATTTTTCAGGGGTGCTGAGCTAAAAACTTAGGGGTGGTTGAGCACCCTCAAAAAGAAGCTAAAATCACCACTGGCTGAACTGTTAAATAGCAAAATAGTAGCTAATAGCTAAACCTGGCAAAATGGTAGCTAAAAAATTAAAGTGGTGGAATGTAGCTAAACACTATAAGTAGAATTTAAGAACAAAATAAACAACATATATGTTTAAACTGGACTTTTTTAAAACCATGTTTTGAAAAGTATTTAAAGGATCCTTATGTTTTTCTACAGGAAATTGTATTTTGAGTAAAGGTAAACGTTTGAAAAAGTACAAAAGTTATAAAAGACACGTCCATCTTCTGATTGGGCTGAAGTTATAGCTATAATTTAGCACAAAATATGCACAAGTAGTTTGATTGGATTAAACATGGCTGCAGGGGGGGGGGGGTGTCAAGTATGAAAACAACAGTATGATCACTGACTTGTCAAATTTGAATAATAAACTTATTTATTCAAATGCTTCATTAACGTTCTTTGTGTTTTCAGCGACATCCAAAGGTTGGGAGTGACGCTGATGGGCCATCAGAAGAAGATCATGACCAGTGTCCAGATGATGAGGGCACAAGTCCTCAACAAGAGCGTTCCATCGGTGCATGTATAACCACAAAACTGGAGTTTCTTCCTGCTCAAATTAAAAACTAGACTTCTATAAACTCAAAAAGGACTCTGAGATGGAGAGAACACACATGGGAACTATACAGAGTTTTT